GAACATCATATTGTCTCTCTAATATAAAAAACTGAAGGAGTTAGTGGGATTCCAAATGTACTATAGATATTGTGAAAGCAAAAAGGGAAGAAGTAGCTAAAAGGGGAAGGTAAAACTGGAGAAAAGAAAGAAGGGAAAAGCTGTATGTGTACACACACACACACACACACACACACACACACACACATATATATATATGATAGGTAATTTTACTACTAATCTCTGTTAATCTAAAAAGGAACTGTCTGTACTTCCATTGTTTAATCAATTTTATTTATATATGTAGTAAGCTGAACAACTTCTTTGAAGACAGCAGTATGCAACATTTTAACCAATTTTGATCCCCAATTATTCTCTTTTAAATTTTATACCATACTGTTAATTCCCTTTTGTTTGCTTTTAAGTTTAAAAAAGAATAAAGTAGGAGATATTATAATCTCAAATCTACAATTACATTACACACCTACAGTGATATAAACAGAATTTTAAGGACACAAATACAGACAAAGCAATCCTGAGAATACAACTTAGATTTCAGAAATGTCTCCAGGTACTTAACCATCTTACGTTCAAAAAAAGGCCAAAAATATGATGGAGAAAAGATCTCTTTACTAAACTGTCCTAGGAAAACAATCCGTGTTCAGAGGTATGAATCTAAATACATATCACTTTCCCTGTTCTACAATTGTATCTAAATGGATTAAACACCAATATCCAGAAAACAGAAGCACTTAATATGGTGGAAAACGAAATGCAAAATTCATGAAGATATAAACATAGGCAAAGAATTTCTGAATAGAACTCTAATGGGACAAGAAATATTGACATCAATGACTATGATTATTTCCAATTTTAAAAGTGTCTCTACAGCAAAGAAAACAATCAGAGTAAAGAGACAACCTATAGAACAGGAAAAAAAAAATATTACCAGTTGTTCTTTGGGGAAATACTAATATCAAGAATACACAGGAAATAAAATAATTTGATTCTCAAATATAAACTGATAAAGGAAATGAATAGATATTCCTCCAAAAATGAAGCACAAAAGACAAAAAAATGGGGAGAAATTTCTTAAACTTTGGTTATTAGAAAAATGCAAATCAAAAGGAAGCTGATATGCCATCTTAATCTAGAAAGAATGACCATCATCAAGAGTTTAAAAAATAATAAATAATGGTGATACTATGAGGTAAAATATTCCTTTACATTGTGGGTAGGAATCTGAAATATTACAACCACTGTAGAAATCAGTGTGAAACCTATTAATACCTTTAAAATAAAATTTTTAAATATTCTTAATAAATTAAAAATACAAATTCCATTCAATCCAGCTATAAATATTCTGGGTATCACCCCATCAAAATGTCATATTACAGTGATATATGGATACCCATATTTATCATAGCATAATTCATGATAGCTAAATGTTGGAGGCAGACTCTAAGACCACTGACTGATGAATGAGTAGAGAAAATATGTATATACACACAATGGAGCACTACTTGGCAATTAAGAAGGAGAAATTTGAGTCAAAAAATGCATATACCTTGAGACTATGAAACTAAGTGAAATTAGTCACATACCTAAGGTTAAATATTCCATGGTTTCTGTTCAGACTCACATTAAAAAGGGAAATAGAAAGGTAGATCTTTTTGGATAGGAAGAGATCTAGGATTGGAAACGAACAGATTAGAGCAGAGGGAAGGTGAAATAGAAAAGATCCATGCCTGTATCCACAACCCATGAAGAGTGCATTGATGGGTGCTTCACAAACGTATTAAGGAAAATGTTTTATGTGAACTCTGAGAAAGAAGGAAAGAAGGAAGGAAGGAAGGAAGGAAGGAAGGAAGGAAGGAAGGAAGGAAGGAAGGAGAGAAAGAAAAGAAAGAAAGAAAGAAAGAAAGAAAGAAAGAAAGAAAGAAACAAACAAAGAAAGAAACAAAGAAAGAAACAAAGAAAGAAATGTTATTGAATGAGCACAGATTAGGCACCATATAAACTTCTCTGACCTGCAGTCTCAGCATGCTTAAAGGAAATTTTGGCTTCAGAACCCAAATATAAATATTATGGTAAAAGTAATAACATGAAAGCAATTAAAACACAAAGAAAGAAGAAGAAACAAAAAGATGTGATCTGAACAACACTAGCATAATTTGTTAAGACACACACACACACACACACACACACACACACTGAAAATATAATCTAAATAGAAGCAGACTGGTTTTTTGTAACTAAAAAAAATTTCAAAACATGTCTAGTAAAACATTTTCTGATACATAGAATTTCAAAATTTAATGTTTCAAAATTACTCATAGAAGAAATACGCACACCTACATTTTCAGCCACACAATCTGTAAATTAAAAACAAAATAATGTTTTTAAATTATTTTATGAAATCAAAGAAACCTTAATATCTGAAAAGGATGTGCTTAGAATTAAATGAAGACAGATAAACTACTCTAAATGAAATATCCACAGATTGAATCCTCATACACAAAGTATGAAAAAGGCCCGTAACTTAAAAACACATAATTTTATTTTCCCATCACATCCATAAGGTTAAATACTCCATGGTTTCTTATTGTAAATCCAAAATTTGAGTTCAGTCATCCAAGTATTGTAATCCCCTTTCTAGTTTTTCTCTCAATCCAAAAAGATATATCTGTAATCCCATTGAGATGTTATAGGAATTCCAGTTTGTCAATTCCAATCTACCACTACCAATGCAATCCACAGGGAGAGTAAAAACTCCAAGACATATTCCAAGTTAAGGGCAGCCAAGGGAAGCCAAGTCCATTTCCCATGAGGACATGTGGACAAAGGCCAGGATCCTAGGCCTCTCCCAGCATTTATTATCTTGTGAAGAAAAGGGAGGGCTCGCTCAGGGATGAGTGATAGTCAGGATGTCATGTCGGGGATTGCTGAGTAATTTGAGCTGGCTGACCAGGTACAAGGAAGGCATCTCTTTAATTTGCAGAGTTAAAGACATGCAGAAGGATCAATTTACACAACCTTATTAAGCTAGCAGCAGAATTGTTTTGGGGAGCTGTTGCTTTGGTTTTTGATATGCAAACTCTTGTGCCCTGGGGAGTCATAGCCTCTTATCTTAGGTTCCTTCCTAGTTGACATCCCCAGAGTCTGTTCTGTGTCTCCTCAGCTCAATCCTTTAATGAGGAGAGCACCATGCATTGACATTCTTTGAGTTATTTGTTCTGTGTCTTACCACTTATTCCTGTAATATGAAGAGCATCGTGTGAGGAAACAGGGTTGTCTGATGGCCAGATTTTGCATATTAACACTAGCCTTATTTGCTAGACTTATTTGCAATGCTTAGAGCCAATTGAAGAGAGAAGGAAATATCCTAGCCAGCATTTCACATATAAGAAAATGAGTCCCCGAGTAATCAAAGACACAGCAATTGTTTTGGATCCAAAGGGAGTCACCAGAGTTATATCTCACATCTGTGATGGCTGCATGTTAGCACCTGGGCTAGACTTGTTTGCCATGCTCAGAGTTAATTGAAAAGAAGGAAATACCCTAGCCACTTTTTTACATATCAGTATAAGGTAATGAGTCTCCAAATATTCAAAGTCACAGTAATTGTTTTGGATTCAAAGGGAGAAACTGGAGTTGTCTCTCACAGTTTCTGTTATATGAGAAACCATATAAAATAATTTATGATAGAAATAGATTATAGGAAATAAAAAGGTAGATATTTAGAGATAGGAAGGGATCCAGAAATGGAGGTGAACAATGTAGAGCAAAAGGAAAGATAAAGTAGAAAGGATTTGGTGATTTATTTACAACTCATGGTGAATGTACTGACTATGCTTTCTCTTGTAATCCACAAACTAGCCCCCAAACCTGAGATCAAAAAAATAAGGCAAAAACATATTTTTAAAAAGTAGCACTGATTTATTTTATCCTGGGCCCAGCGACACAGTGCAGTTGGAGATTGCAAAAGCTGTGTGTGTTCCACCCCCTTTACTTGCACCCTCTCAATATATACATCATTGTTTACAGAGTAAGGGGTTTGGGCGTGGAACAGGAGATAGGCTAATGGAGAAGGTCCTGTTTTCCTTAGCTGAGAACAGAGGAGTCTTGCAGCAATTAACAACCTTTTGTTACCTTATTTTAGCACCAAATCTGTTATTTGTAGAGGGCAGCAATGGTTAACATGTCAATTAGGTTACCCAGAGGAAGAAGGAAGAAGAAAAATGTATACAAAACAGTTAGGTTCACATTACAGGTATTTTGGTATAAAACAAATATAACGAAGCTCCTTTTTTAAGTGTACAATACTTTCAAAACATGTATATCAAAAAGTTTTTGTGAATCCTGTCATAACAAAAAAGAAAGAAAAGGGAAAATAAGAAAGAAAAAGTGAAAGAAGGAGAAATAAAATACATTGAGTGAGAACAGATTAGGCAACATCTGAAGTTTTCTGATATGCAGCCTCAACCATGCTTAGAGTAACCTCAGAACCAAAATGTAAAACATATGATTAAAACAGCAATTAAAGCGCAAAGGAAAACAAACAAAATATTATAATCACAGAAAAGGACAAAAGTTAGTTTTAGAACCTCAAAATATTGCGAAAATCTCTAGATGAGATAGGAATTGAATGTAAAAATGAAAGAAAAAATATTAATTTTGAGAGGAAAAGTACATAATCATAAACATTATAGGCACTGATATAGACAGAATATAAACAAGTTTTTTTTTTTTTTTACAAAATTGGAAAAATTGGAAAGCTTCTAGAATACAGTTGGAATGCATAACTTAGTAAAACACTCATACACACACAGAAAAAATTAAAAATTATAATTCGAATAGCACTAGATGATTTTTTAATTAGTAAAAAATTGAAACATTTCTATTACATTGTTTTCCAGTACATATGATTTCACAATCTAATGCTACAAAATTATTCACAAAAGAAATATGCATACCTAGAAAATCTGCCCAACAATCTGAAAAATCAAAAAAACAAAAAATGCTTTGAAGTTATTTTATTAAATCAAAGAATCCTTAATATCAATAACTGACAAGAATGTGGAAAGAATTAAATGAAGGTTGATAACTATAAACAAAATATTTGCACATTGAATCCACATACACAAATTGTAGAAAAGGACAGAAAAATCACAAACACAACTTAATTTCCCATTTGAAAATAGATGTAATTACCAAACTAATAGAATAAGACAAGTAAAACACATTATCATTCTAAGAAGAACCAGAAACATATACTAATATGAGATAAAATCTGGGCACATGTTTTTTATTGATATAATCCCAAAATATACTCAAAGGTCCTTTTTTGTTGATATGGCTTACCAAAAAAATAATGGATATTTGATGTAATGAAAGAGCATGGACTCCCAGGTGGAAAATTCAATTTTCTGTACATCCTGAAACTAATTCTAATTCATACAAATGAGACAGTGAGCAATCACAAAATATCCTGATATGACCTGTCAAAACAAAAACCAAAAATAAATAAAAATAGAAATAAATTTCCAAATAAAAAGTACCAGAAAATCTATATTCAGAGCAGCATTATGAAGTGGAGCCAGCCAAAGTCCCACAGAGGATCAATGGATACATGAACGATGTTGTGTGTCCACACAATGGAAAATTGTAGTTGGGAGGGAAATTCTGACACACTGCAAAATGCATGCACCTTGAATACGTATCCCTATGTGAAAGATAACAGGCAATAGCTGGAACAAATGGGACTTTCAACCCCAGATTTTTGAGAAATCTCCAGACTGACCTCCACAATGGTTGCATCAGTCTACACTCCTCCCAACAGTGCAGAAGAGTCCCTGTTTCCCCCACAGCCTCTCCAGCATTTATTGTTGGTAGTTTTCCTGATCCTGGCCATTCTTTCAGGAGTGAGATGAAATCTCAGTGTGGTTTTAATTTGCATTTCTCTAATTGACTAACAATGATGAACATTTTTTCATGTATTTATTTGTCATTTGTATTTCTTCATCTGAAAACTGTGTATTCATCTCAGATGCCCATTTTTGGATTGGATCTTTGAATTTTGGGGGTCTGATTTTTTAAAATTCTTTATATGTTTTAATTAGAAGTCTTTTGTTGAGGGACAATTCACTAAGATTTTTTCCCAGTTTGTGGGTTTTCTTTTCACTATGCTAGAGATTTCTTTTGACATGCAGAAACTTTTTAATAAGATGTAATCCTAGTTATTGATTCTGGGAAGTATTTCTCATGTGGTTTGATTCCTGTTCATGAATTCTCTGCCTACTCCTATGTCTTCAAGGTTTTACCCAATTTGCCTACCAATAGATTTAGTGTTTCTGTTTTAATATTCAGATCTTTGATCTGTTTAGATTTTAATTTAGTATGCAGTGATAGGCAAAACTAAAACTAGTTTTAGTTTTCAGCATATGGAGAGCCAATTTTTCCAAAACTATTTATTACAGAGACTGTCATTCTTTCAGTGAACATGTTTGGCCACTTCTAAGCATATTTCCAGAAGAACTGAAAAGAGCATACCACAGTAATATATGTGCACCCATGTTTATAGAAGCACAATTTTCAATAACCAGATCTTGGAAACAACCTAAGTGTCCATCAAGTGAGGAATGGATAATAAAGATGTGATATTTTTATACAATGGAGTACTACTCAGCTATAAAGAAGGATTACATTGAGATATTTATAAAAAAATAGACATAGCTTGAGACCATACTCATAAGTGAAATAAATCAAACTCACATGTATAAATACCAAATAGTTTCCCTAGTGTAAGAAATAGTAAGAATATATAAAACTATGTGGTAATCATGATTCTCAGTTTATAATGTTTTCTCTCATTAGTTGGAATGGCTTTATCCTGGGTTAGTTTATTTTATTGTCTGTAATGGTATGAACAACTATTGTAAAGAAAACAAGACATTATACTAGCTAGTGCTGATTTAATATCATCTTGTTTTGAAGTCCCACCAAGCTTTTGTTCTTCCATCTCCATCGGTTTTATCATGTTGTATCATATTGAATTTCATTATGTATGATAGTATAAACAAAATAGACAAGGAGATAATATAGTAAACATTGTTCATTTTCTGTTAGTTGGTTATGAACATCCTGTAAGACTTTCATTCTCTTGAATTGTTTTACATGGTCTTCTGTTTGATAATATAGTGTATGAAGGTATACTAAAATATTTCAAGGAAAGAGACACTATGGTAACTACTTTTATGTCAGGTTATCTTGTGGTGAGAGACTATGTTGCTTTAATTGTTTTGTTCTGACCTGTTTTGTTATGTCTTTTATTTTAATCTTGTTTAAAATAAAAAAAGAGAAGAGACAAGAAAGCACAAAGGTTGTGTAATGCTAATATTTAAGACATCTGGAATAGTGAAGCTCACAGAGATGGGAAGTATAATGGTTGTTAGGAAGTCTTGAACAAGGACAAAATAAAGAGCTATTAAAAGAAAAAGCAGTTTCTTTTTTGCAAAAGGAAAAGTCCTGGAGATGGAAGATGGTAATGGTTGCAAAAATATGTGAATGTACTTAACTCATGAACAACTGGCAAAAATTTTAAAGACGTGTATTTTTTCAAAATTTTATGTATTTGTTTTACACAAATGATTAAAGATAATGGGAGAAGACCTGGGGGAATTCTGAGGTGAATGTCCTGTTATTAGGTAAAAAGTAGAAAGGGAATGGAAAACAATGATTACAAAAATAAAAACTTACCAGTGCTTATAAAACCATAATACATAAAACAGCAAAACAATCAAACAGGTCACAAATACTGCCAAAATGATCCAACCAATGGAGGAATTTCCTAAAGGGTGAAAAAGAGGCCAGAGAATATCACATCAAGTCACACACACACACACACACACACACACACACACACACACACACACCAATTCTTTCTCTGGTACTTATGGGTATGCTACAATCTCTAAAGGTCATTTCTCCTCTTCCATCTCTCCTTCCCACTACTAAACCTCTCCTCTTCTAATTATCCCTCCCTCACTTCTTCTGTTCATTTAACAGGGAACAATCGCCAATCATTTCAAGCCCAACCCCTATCTCTTCTCACCCCAGTAGAGGATGATGTCCTGCCCTCCCAGGCTGCTGTGCTTCACTCGGCAAGACAGACCAGTAGCCTCCTTAGCTACCACATCCAGAGTCGCTCGGAGATACCATGTGTCATCAGGATTGGGCAGAACATCCCCTCTCTGAGTTTCAGGCTGCTCCTGCTCACCTCTCATCCACATCACCCACACAGGCTTTGGGTAGAAGCCAGAGACGTGGCACACCAGCTGCAGATAGCCAGGCTCGGGGCTGGGTCCCTGGGATAGCCAGGCCTCAGGCTTCACTGGGGTAGAAACGTCAAAGAGGGTATCACATTATTAACTCAAGCTCAAAGCACTTAACTCAGAAACTTATAAATTTAGACCTTGTTTCTTGTATACTTTTAGGATGAGAGGAGTTATTGAAGAAGCCCTTCTACTACCTTCTCAACTGTATTTAAAGGAATTGATGTAAGTAACACAGAACAGGACTAACCGTGCTTCTGCAGAGCTGCCTTCCCAGCTTCTAGGACACTCATCAGATATCTGGGGCAAACTTTTGTGAGGAGATTTTCCACAATATCACAAATTCCTTTGTACTGTAAGATTAATGCACAGAATTTCTGTGCCCTGGTACCACCTTCTGGGGCAGGCAAACATGAATAATTATTGATGCTCATGAAATGCAGTCCTTCTATAGCTCCCATCAAGAAGCTTACAATGGCTCCTCCAGAATGCAACTCACAGCCTGCAATGCCCTGGATCTCAAAAGGATCTGTGGCGAAGGAAACAGACAGATGTTACTAAGCAATAAATACAAAGAGAGATATGGCTGAAGCAATTTACTACAGCACTTAGAAAGCCTCTGTAAATCACATCAGAGTGATATGAATATCATGGAAGGAGCATGGAATAAACAAAGTATATAGAGGTAAGACAGAAGGAGAGAGGCAGAAGGGTTGTAAGGTAGTCACAAGTACATTCCAGAAGGAACCATCAGATGATCTGGAGAGGAAAGCTCAGGGAGGAGAAGGTGAAAATGATGGATGAGAGAAAGAAGCCACACTTTAGGTTACAAAGGCATAGTGTGGGAAAGTAAGGTTCAAGTTCACATGAGATGAGCTAGTGATTGGTCACAAAGCAGAGCCTTAATCTTTCAGTAATGAGTGCAGAGGTAAAAAAATTCAGAAATGCCTTGTGGAGTATGAAGAATGAGAGGAGACTGCTCTAAAAGAGTAATTCAGAGAAGTTGAAGTGGAGGAGGTGGAGGGACAAGAGTTGGTCGTGGTGTGAAGCAAAATGGGATACAACACTTGAGAAAACCCTGCCCCATACTCTTAGGAAAGGGCTCACATTCCAGCTGGAAATCACTGACAAGTTCCTGGACTTCTTTAACAAATCCTAAGAAGTAGAGTCGAAATAACTCCTCCATTTCCAAAATCTCATCATTGCTGAAGTTGCCTTTAGACCAGGTTTTCCGGAATATGATAGTGCCTGAGTCACTATTCCAACCATCAATCTGTATATCTCCCAACCAGCCTGAAGCTTGATTTTGTGCCCAGGTACTGTTGAAAAATGATGAGCTTTGGGTGACATAGTAGGAAATTGGCTCCGGAAAGGCTGGGGAAAAAGGAAGCACAAGATTTTGAAGAGTTAGAAAGAGGGAATGAAAACAACACCCAGAATCTAAGAAAGCACAACATCTGACCCATCTGAGAGACCCAGATCCTCAGGCTCCAGTGCCAACCTCCAGAATGGTGGAAGAGACCTGGGGAATGTAGGGCTCAGAGGATCAATCAAAGCCTGAGTTTATTCAGATCCCATGCATCATAGCCAGCAACTGCCAGAGTTCCTCTTACCATCCTGAGTGTCACCAGCTGGGAAGAGAACTGCAAGCAATGCCAGTACCAGGAGCAGCATTTCTCTGAAAGAAAGGACTTCAGTCTCTCAGTTTGTGTTTGATCTCTGAGTTTTAGCAACTCTTTTTTTTTTTTTTTTGCTCTGTACTCTGTAGCAGTGACTTCCTCTGTCTTCCAACTGACAATCTCTTCCTCATAGAAATTTTGCCTCAGTGAAAATATTTTCTTCTCACCCTCCAGGTTCTCCTATTTCATCTTTCATTTCCCCTATGGTTCTGACTTCCAGACTGACTCTTGTCTCCCAGAGTCCTAGTTTCTCTCCTTGTCCTAAGCTTTCTTCATATGAGCTCAAAAAGACCCTAAGTGGTTGAAAAGTTCCCTCCACTTGTCTGAGTCTTTATCTACAGACCTAGAAGATGAGTGAGGGTTACCAAATGCCTGCTCTACCTCTGCTTCTGACCTGCTTCTATCTGGGAGCATACCAATCATTTATGAACATCTCTCCCTGTCCTGTCCTCTCTTTCCCATCACATTGCCCATTCTTGGTGTTCTATGTCTTCTTCTTCTTTTGTCATTGTCTATGTTGACACATTCCAGGTTTCTGTGTCTGGTGTTCTATTTTCATATATTGACTTCTACTTCAATACACTCTCTTGAGTTTTCCACTGTAACTGTAAAATCAACCAATGCACAGGAGTCTCAGAGAAAATGCAGTAGATATTACACAGATTAAAGTCCCAGACAACTGAAAATACAGCAAAAATGCGTCTCTTATTCTATTTTACTTTTTTGTCAAAACTTTATTGTCCTTTAAAAAATAAATGTGAGACAAGCAAATCACATTTAGTCAAGTAATTTAATAAATCATTTTAAATTTGCACATAGCCTCCAGTACATTGTGGGGTATTACAGTATATAGAACTCTCAGACCAAACAATACTTAGAAAACTATGAAAATGGATAAAGAATTTTCTATTATAGTTTTCTTTAAAATGCTTTCACTATGGAGCTTTTGTTGCTGTTTTCTTCATATCTAACCATGCACAATACGGTGTTTATATGGATTATATTCACAAATATTTTTTTTTCTCTGCACTCAACTCATATACAAGTATGTTGAAAGGAATAGATATATTACCAATATCTGAGGAGCAAGGAAAACAATGAGATGATGGAAGATAAACAAATAAGAGATAATCTTAGCACTATGAGCCTAAGTACAGGTAGAACCCTTTGATCTCAGCTGACTTAGATTATGTGTTATTCAAGATTTGGTTGGTTTTGCTTTTGTTCTGTTTCAGTACTGAAAATCAAACTTTGAACCCAGATCTTTAAACTAAACTGCTTTCCCAAGCCTTTATTTATCATTTATTGTTTCAAACACTATCTTGTTAAATTGAGCACATACTCAGCTGATCTTGAACTTGTGTTCCTGCTGCTTTAGTCTCCAAATGATCTGGGATTACAGACACATGCTACAATGCCCAGCTCCATGTTGCTTAGGTTCTTTCTTCTCCCTACTATTTGTTTCTTTCACTGTGCACAAACATTTTGGTATGATAGAATTCCCATTTTTATGGTTCAGTCTTTGTTGCCTATGTTTTGTGAAACTTCCAAATAATCTTTTCTGAGGAATATATCTTCAAGAATTTCCCCATACCATTTCATCTAGCAGATACATACCTTTCCTTCTTAATTAAAGTATTTGTTCCACTTTAATTTGATTTTTGGGTGGGCAGGAGATGAGTTTAGTTTCAATATTTTATATGTGGATATCCAGATTTCCAAAGATTATTTGATGAAAAAAGCTTTTCTTTCTCAAAACTATTTTTTGACAAGTTTTTTGTGTTGGGTTGGCTATAGATGCACAGTTTTATTTTTAGCATATTAATTCTGTTCACTGGTATTATGTTCATATTTTATCTGCTTTTTGATGGACAAACTTCCCTTCTGTTATCATAGTATGTTTAATAAATATTTTGAGTTGTCTTTTATCCACATTCAAATAATATAATACAAAAGAAGTAGTAATTTTTTGGTCTTGTTTTACATTTAAAGGCAATGCTAAATCAGCAAGAAGTGTTTCAGAGAGGAAGGTAATTTATTTGAAACTAGGAGTATTGTAGGAGTATTTTCCCCAATTATCAACAATTCTATTTCTGTTTCAGGTCCTACACTTCCAAAGACCTCACTTCACAAGATATTGAGCAAAACATCAGAGCTCTAAAGAAAACATAGAAACCACAAAAATTATTTGAAAAACAATTTATTTCTACTTCTTATTAAAGTAAAGATAATATTAACTTTCCTAAAATGCTTGTCCTTTTACTACTGAGGAGTGGGTCTTCTCCCTCTGCTTTCCAAAACCTAAGTGAAAATTAAAGGGCTGTCATGAACTATCATAAGTTCCACAGCTGTGTACATTATTAATTCCACTCCAGTCAAATCAACATTACCAACATGAGTCACCTAGGAGAGCACCAACATGAAGCCAAGGGAGGACCAAGTAAAATAAAAACACACAGAGAAATGATCGTGGCAGTTTAAAAATATTTTATATTTTCACTTTCTATAAAAGCAGAAGTAGATTTTAGACTGTCTCTGACCACTTAGTCAAATGTCAACTTGGATGTGTGAGAGAATGTCTGCTTTGCAAGCAAAGCAAAGTAATGGTGATTTTTACTATTAGTTACATCTCAGGCAGCCAGAAATTTGACTGACACAGCTACTCAAAGGGATTAAATCTGACATAGAAAAAGGAGGAAGCCTGGATAATTTCCAGAGTTTGGAGTGTTGTACGCTAGAAAAAAGAGCTTCATTATATTTGTATTATACCAAAACACCTGTAATGTGACCCTAAATGTTCTGTATATATGTTTCCTTTCCCCATTCCCCCTTCTCCCTTCTCCCTTATCCTTCTGGGTGACCTAATTGATATTTTAATCAATTCTCTCCTCTAAAATTGTAAATCCCTGGGATCCTAACCTAATTGATATCTTAACCATTGCTGCCCTCTACAAATAACAGATGTGGTGCTAAAATAGGTAACAAAAGGTTGTTAATTGCTGCTCTGTCTGTTAATTGTCTCCTCTGTACTCTGCTGAGGAAAATAGGATCTTCCCCATTAGCCTATCTCCTGATCCATGCCCAACCCCCCTTACTTTTTAAATTATTAAATATACTTAAAGGTGACAAATATAGAGGAGACACACACACAGCTTTTTCAATCTCCAATTGCACTGTGTCACTGGGTACAGAATAAAATAAATCAGTGCTACCTTTTAAAATATGTTTTTGCCTCATTTTTTGAACTCGAGTTTGGTGGCTCATTTGTGCGTTACAAGAGGAGATGTAGAGGAAGAGTAGAATCACAGACAAAACAGGAAATAGTTAATGGCACATTATTTTTATTTTATGAAACCAGTGTTTCCCCCAAGAAAACCAACCAGTATCTTAGAACCAAGAAAAGATTTTGTTTTGAAATTTAAATACAGGGTTAAGAAAAATAAAGATGAGGAGGCATGCACCATTGTAAACATTTTAAAAAGGCAAACTCCTATACTAACTAACTCAAAACAGTGAGAGGGGAGAGGTAGACAGACAGGAGGCATGTGGAAGCTTGTTGATAGTTATTCATATGACAGAAAATCTTTTTCTGGATCTAAGTAAACATATAATCAAATCCCAGATCAATTATGACAAGTACTATAATTTAGAATTCTGAAAAATTTATTAATTTTGAAGGGAAAAATAGTTTTTGCTCTTTTTATGTTCTTCACTTCACTCAAGGGATTTTGAATAACAGATATTTTTGAGACAAGTAAAAGTCTAGGAACTATACCTTATGTGTCTGCAGCTTAGGTCAAATTCAGAGGAAACCTAGCCACACTGTCACACCTGTGTTAAAGAAGCATCCAGCGTCAGAAGTTTCTCCTTTATTCATGCCTTTCCAATCCATAACATAAGGTATTTTTGTGCGAGGGAAAGAACATGTTGCTTTTTGACAAGCAATCAGAAAGATTTATCCAAAGACATTAACATCTATTTTGACTTGATATGGTCTTAACAAGTTTCTCTCTCTCTCTCTCTCTCTCTCTCTCTCTCTCTCTCTCTCTCTGTGTGTGTGTGTGTGTGTGTGTGTGTGTGTAATGCATTGAGTAAAAAATTGGAGCTGTGCTCAATATGATTGGCTTGCATTATTATCCCTAACCTTGAAAAACTTACAAATTTGAATTAACTTAGGTTTTTCCTGGAAGAAATGCAGAAATAACTGATATGAAGTATATCACTTATTAAATGTATTATGTGGATTAAAAGTGCACAATGAGTGATGGAATATTCTCTACTACTGAAAATAAATACACTACTATTTATTATATATGGAAGTTTCACATGGTCTCATAGAGATCCCAGAACAGATATCCTAACATCAAAGTACATATCTTTTAACAATATTTCAAGATTTCATCACATTAGACTATTTTAAGATGTCAAATAGAGACAATAGAAGAAACTGTCATTAGCTATTGTTCATGTGATTTTTTTTTTTTTTTGTACCAGGCATTGAACTCACAACCTTGTGCTTACCAGGCAGCACATGAATATTTTTTGTCATACATCTTTTATTATGGGTAGGATACCCCAGTGTGTTTTATGCAATGTAGATTCACTTGCAGGAACAAATATTAAGATAGTGTTGATACCTAAGAAATATGCAATACCAAGTAGACTCAGTGTTCTGTGTGACACATAGGTCAATGACATAAGTGAGAAACAACAGGCAGTGTTATAGTCACCCTGGAAAGGATGCCAAATTCATTTATGTAATGCTACAAGGTCTAGTACACGCTAAGGGAGACATGCGCTAGAGTCAACCAGTACCAGAGAGAGGGAAATGCTGAGGCCCCTGTGCTGTGTCCCAGGGTGATATTATGGTTTATCTTCAGGTTCAGGTTTTGCCAGTCTGAACCATACTTCTGTAACTCATGCCAGGGTAATCATTTCTTTCTTGGTTTCAAGTTCAGCTCAGTATATCAATTTTTTCATGTTATAGTTTCTGTCTGAATTTCCCCCAAAAAAACATGTGGTCAAGTTGGAAGGCAGA